ATGGCTGCTAATCAGAATCCTTGGACACTACGGTCAATGATTGGTAGTGTTGGTAGATTGAAACTACGGTATACCCAGGACGACGGAACCATGGGATCTTTATTGGGTTTATCTCCATTTCCCTCATAATTGAGACAAAAAAAAATATCTAAAATTTATTCATCATTGATCGAGAGTTCTCTCTTATGTAGTAAGAGGGGTAATTAACTATGAGTGTTTGCGCTCATAAGAAGTAGGACCCTAGATCTTTAAACCCTGACACTACCCTCAGGGGAAATCTGGTTAATTTTAATCTGACTTAAGGGAAATGGAATCCTACAGCTACAAAGCGGGATTCATGCATTCATGCCATTTTTTTAGCCTACAATTGTTTAGTGAGATATTTATAGAACAAAATAGAGATAAAGAAAGCAATATCACAGTAAAATATTTTAGAAAAAAATAGAAAGATAAAATCAATCAACTCACTAAAGATGATTGGGTTAGAGAGATCATTAAACCTTGTCCTATGGCCGACCACCAAACCAAGCCACCACTTGAAATTGACTCAAACAAGTCATAAAAATTTCTATGTATTTTGATCCACAATAAAATATCTTTAAATATAAGTTACAACAATTGAATTTTGAAAATACAAGTTACTTCATGCATGAGAAGCATAATTCAATCAATTAAATGCATTCTACTAGCCAACTAACTCATTAAATTAATAATACAATCACCCAAGTTTCACAAAATCACAATTACAACACAATATGAATTTCTCAAAGAGTAATAATATCTTCATATTAATTAGGTAGAATAATAAAGTAATTTTCCTAGCTTAAGGTTAGGAGCAGAGCCAGTTTTTTTTGAAGTGGGGGCATAAATCATTGATGGAAAAAAAATCCTAAACCTCTTTAGCCGGGCTTGCAACCGGCAATGGCGATTTTAATTTTTTTTTAAATGGTTAGTTATAAAAAGATAAAATATATGATAAAAAATACTTATATATTATCTATAATTTCTCCCGTCAAGTCTTCATTTTTTGAAACCGTTGTACAATCAATTCATTATCAATGCTATTAAATATATCCTTCTTGCAGTTTTTAAAGTAGCTTTATAATATAAAAATTAAAATTTATGTACTAAAAAGATTATTTTAAGAAGCATTAAGAAAGACATCATACAGGAAGCCTTAGTTTCCAAATAGAGGGTTAGATTTTTGTTATGCTCATTCTCAGCTCATTTATTTGATAAATGATCTAAATTAAAATACTATTATTTTCAATGTATTGGCTGAATAAATAAATGATGAATTTGAATCAAAATGCATTATATATAAATTTGAAAAATAAATCAGTAAATAATAAATATTAAAATATCTTAGGACCGGCATCATCGATTTTAAATTAATTTATTTCCAACTTGTGTTTGTAGGAATTTATATCACGAGGCTCACAATGTCGTCCTCTTAATAAGTATACTCTTCTCACTATATATCTATCATTTGAATGATAATCATTAAATAATAAAAAATGATTAGATAAATTGAAACTCTTTTTTATTAAAATAAAATAAAATATGCTTAAGTGAACAAAAATAAACACAAACTATATGAAAATTTTTCATTTAAAAATTTAAAATTGTTTTTATCTCCAATAAAAATTTACTATTAAATTTTTTTAATTTAATTTAATTTAATTTTCATAAGTTAAAAAAAGTTAATTTTCATATTAATTCTATTTTTTTTTAGCTTTTTTTTTTTTTTTTGCATTGACAGCTTGTGTATAAAAAAAGTTACCAAAAGAATTCATCCGGCCAGTGGGGGCACGTGCCACCAGTGCCCCCACCCTCCCTCCGCCCCTGCTTAAGGTCTTCAACTTTCTCTTAGTGGTTGTTCTACTATGCTCAATTGTAATTTTCCTAGATATAGCCCTAGTGGTTGGATAAATTTTTTTCATTTGGTGCTTTTGATACTCCTTGTACTACACCATAATTAGCTATAAAGACATGGCTAAATTATCATTCAAAACCATAATTTTGTGGTGATAATCCTAATTATACCCTACTATAGACTAAAAAATTTATCTACGGGTGTGCCTATCATAGCACATAGAGTATGTAGAGATAAAAAATATGTCAAGGGGCAACTTATATAAGTGTGACAAGTCTACAAGCTAATTTTCTAAGATTCAATTAAACTAAAATAACTTATTTTATCAAACTTTTAAGGACTAATATGATAATATGGTTTTGATGGGAAAAAAGGGTTTTCAAAATAGTTATGTAAATATTTATATATATATTTGAAAAAGATAAAAATTAACATATTTTTAAAAATATTGAGTTCATATATGATATAAATATTTGATTAATGTTACACACCTTAGATTATTTGTATCCTTGAACAATCATATCAGGTTTAAATATGATTAGATGATTCATGTTATTAGATGAATCATTACCTAATAATCATAGAAAAATTACCATAACCTTAATACAATCTTAAATCTGCGGGTTAGACATATTTAGTCTATCAATTATTGAATCAAATTGCATTCAAATATAAAATAGAAAATATCTATAGCAATTTTTCTCCTTGTTAAACTTTCATAAAAAATGTTGGTAGTGTTTTTTGCATCATTCTCATGAATGAGGTAGTATGAAGTGATTATTCAAAAATAGGCATGCATGAGGCACTGTGATTATAGTTTCGTTTGGGACAACTTTCTTTCTGCTTCTTAAAGTAGCTTCTTAGTATAAAAATTTTAATTTTTGTACTAGGAAGCTGCTTTAAGAAGCAACAAAAAAGCCGTCCCAAACGAAGCCTATATTTGTGGCTATACCACCAATTGTAGCTTTAAAATCAGGTTAAAATATCACTAGCCAAAAATGATGAAGATATGTCAAGGGAGAAGGTAGAGCTAAGGTTTAGACATAATCATATATTACTTGATTACCAAACTAGCATTTTCATAAGGATTTAATATATTCTTGCTCTTATTATATGACTTCTTAGGCTTCATTTGGGACAGCTTTTTCATTGCTGCTTAAAATGGAGTTTTAGTACAAAAATAATCACCCCATCTCTTTGTAATTAAAGAAGGGAAGGGATCCTCCACCTTAGGCCATAAAAGATGTAGGACTAGATGTCCATCTTTGAAATCTTATTAGGTGAGGTGCCTAATATGCGAAGTTCAATCGGGGACTAAGGCCTAGATGATTATTTCTATTGATTGTACATTGAACATTAATGCAATTTAGGTAAATGCACTTCAATCTTGTCTTATATAAAGTCTTTACATAAATATGCTTGAGGTCAAGAGTATATATTCATATATATTTAAATATAGAATTATGTTGGTTATCCATGAGGATTTTGCTAAACATGTGGGAGGCCCTTACCCCGTAGGTGATTTACTAATTTTCATATCATCTCAGTCTTTGATATTATAGACTTAGTCGATTAACATGGATCGTATCTTGATCTAATATCAAATTTGTGGAACTTAAAGTAGATGCTATATATGTATATATATAATAACCATTATAACTCATGAGCCAAACAATAAATATGTTATGTAAATTGTGACATAATATAATTATTGTCATGAGTATATATATATATATAAATATATAAAGAAAACTTGAGTTGAAAGCATGGGCGGATCCCCATTGTCTTGAGGGGGGGTATTCCCCCCCTCAAATTTTATTTTATTTTATTTTAGAGGGATAGTTTGGAATATTTTGGGTATTTTGTCCCCTCTCAAAAAAATTTTTTGCCCTCATTTTAGCAATCCTAAGCATCTTTGCCCATCCCCCACCAAAAAAAAATATTTTTTTTTTGCTCACCCTAAAAAAGAAGCTGGATCCACCCCTGGTTGAAAGAGGCTAATATTAATCATGTTGATGATTTGAACCCTTATAACCCTCCTTTGAGGCCTTATGAATATTTTATCTTATTTATCATAATCGGTAGAATATCTATTACTATGTTAGTTTCTTTATTTCATTAGAAACATAAAATAGAGCATTCTTCAAAATTTTAATGTTGAAACCTAATTCATAAAGGATCAAAATAAAACCCTGCCATTGATGATCTAGCCGACCTAATGAAAAACATTAAGTATGAGTGATTTTCTTATAGAAATATCATTTTCTAAAAATTAAAAAAAAAAAGTATGAGTGTCTATGCCTTAAGTCCCTTCAAATTTGGGGATCCAACAAGAATATAAACTTCTTCATAATGCACTTTTATGATATCAAAAATTGAATAGTGGAATTGATTGGGTTAAGTTGTTCTCTTGCTTAATTTAATAATGAAATAATATTTTATTTCTATAAAAAATATATTTAAAACTTTGTTTTTGAATAGACAACCACTTTTAAAATTTATCCCTAACTTCTTAAAAATATTTATAATACTCATAGCAATAAAAAAAATAATTTTCTTAAATAATTCTACAAGCGTTTGTTATTGAAATTTACAATAGCTCAAATAAACACTTTGAAAAAACATTTTTTTTTAAACTACAATGAGGCTAGAAAATGCAGACAGGAAAAATGTATATCATTTTCTAATTTTTATTCGAAATTTGCTTTTTATCCCAAAAAGAAGCAGGCCCAAGAAAAAAAATTACGTGCGGTGTCCGGATACATCAAGAGGCTAATTCGGACGTGTCACGTCGCCTAATACACAATGTATTAGATCATATGACGCATTCAAATTAGTCTATAAACACGTCCGAACTCCGCACGTAATAATCTCTCTCCCAAGAAAAATTATTAGTTCTTATTTTGCCCAACACAAAGCTTTGAGAGTTTTTGCACAACTATATGTTTTTTTTTTTGGGACATTTAGGCCATTTAAGACAAACTCACACACACAACGCATACACAAAGACTCGAACCCTGAACCTCATAGTTGGAAGCCAAAGCTCTCAACCAATAGGCCAAGGAGACTGGTGTCACAACTATATGTTGGTATTTATACAAAAGACCTAACCCCGTTTGTTTTCTTATTAGTTATAGTAGTTATTTTGCCCGCCCACATATGCGCTATTGTTCGTTGAGGGAAACAAATGATGGCTGGGGGTGGTGGACAATTGAAGTTTCTTGACTGGTACCTGAAAATAGCGGCCGTGTCGGCGCTCGTAGGCGCCTCCATGGAGCTCTTCATGATCCACACCGGCTTCTGTGTGAGAACTTTCCTTTCGCCCCTCTCAACTTTAAACCCTAACGCGTTTTGTTTGTGCCGATCCATCTGAAGAAAGGATGCTAGTAGTTTCGAGTAAGAAATGAAAAATATGTCCTTCAAAAAAGAAATGATGATGACTAATTCTAGATTTTGTAATGTGATTTTTACTCATTTTGCGTTGGGATGGTTAATTTTCTGCATTTTGGTTCGATATTAGGTAAGCTCAGGCGAAGATTGCAATCCTACCGGTTAGACAATCATGGCTGAGTAAGCATGTCACTTTTATATGGGTGGATGAAGTTAATTCTATGGCTTTTATTATGATTTAAGATTAAAATACATGGAGAAAGTGCGGTGTTGGGTTAAGGCAAATTGGCTATTTAAATTTACTAATACAATTTAGCCAATCGGCAGCCAGAACAGAAAGTAAGAGTATACATATTGGTTGGATTACGCCATAATACACTTTATCCATGCCTAATCCTATGTTCTCATACCAAAAAGTGAAAGAAATAGTTTGAGTATCCTGGTCATCGTAAATCTATTTGGAGTTTCATGTATGCTTGTGTATGCGTTCAGTTGGGAATGCTGATTCCCGGTATGCTTTTTGATTCTATACTTCAGGTTTACAACATGAAGTTGGCCAAAACATTTTCCTTGATTCCTTTAAGTTAAGTTATTTTTTCTAAGGTGCATTGCAGAAATTTCATGTGGTTCCTTGGTATTGTATTTTTGGGCCTCCAAAACTTTATCCTCCTTGTTCTAAGAACCGGAAGCGAATTGTTTATTTCAAGCTTCCTTCCAGTTTACTAATAATAAATTTTATGCAGAAATAAGCATTTGATTCCTTTGCTTTTAGTGTCTGTGACAGAGATACTATAGAACTCATCCATAAAATACATTAATAAATAAAGAGAAAGATTATAATTTAGTTTACATCCATCCTTGATGACGGTAAGTCTGTAACAAACAACCCAGTAGATTTCATTGCATAAAATGGAAGTTGTAACCTGTTAAAATAAATGTAAGAATATTTGCCCTTGCCCTTTGTAATCCATGCATTTTCACCGGTAAAAAGATTTTTCCTTAATTTGCTTTTTTGAATTCCCAACCAATGATCCTTTTTTAAGCTTATTGCATTTTTATTAATTATTATTACTGGCTCAAGATGACCATGGAATTACTGAATAATTTCCTTATTTATGTTGACTTCTCTATATGAATTTCTCAGTCAGTAGAGTGTGACAAGAACAACAATCAACCAATGCAACATCATGTAAAATGAGTTTGAAATGTCTCGACTAGATAAACCCTTCAGATGTCATCCATTTGCAATAGAAATTGTGTCGATAGGACCAAAACATTAAATTTACCAAAGAACCCCAACTAGATTGAGCGACCACGAAAATGATAGTCTATTAGCATGATGTTGCATGAAATCACCGAACATCATTTTTTCATGAAATATACTACATTATTGCATTTAGAACTTCAAAATTGCAAAGGAATGATCTGTGCTTGACTTGAGCAATCATGATTGAAGGCTATGGTATTTGATGTTGCGTGAAGGCTCGTGAACATCGTACACTCTCAAAACGAACTTTCCAGATGTGTACAAAATATTGAAATTGCTCGAAATGACACCCATTTTACATGGGTTGTCGTGTGAATCAATACACAAATGTTGATTGTGCTTGAGATGCTCAAAGCACAAGAAATTACACGAGAAATTGATTCATATTTATTTTGTTCCTTTTCTTTTTTTATTAATTTTAATCAAAAAGACAAAAATAAAAAATAAAAAAGAAAAAAATTCCCGATCTCCATATCCTATGTTAGGGTGGCCTTTATCTTATCCGTCGTGTGCAGTCAATTTCATCCCATCCCTCATCATACCATCTACGAAAAAGGCCATCCTCTCTCCCTAGCCTGTCAACCCATTCAAGCCACCCATCCCCCTTCGCTATTGCTTACTTGCCAACCCTAGCATCCAGCCAACCAATTGATCCCAACCTCCATCAACCTGCCTGCCGACCACCTCTCGACCTACCCGTCGACCACCTCTCGACCTCCCAACAAACTGTTTTATTCTGCCTCCATCTTGCCCCCTCATTTCACACGTATAAACCCAACACAATCTTTGACTCTGTCTCTCTTGTTTTCTTCACCTTCAAACAACACCTCTGCCTTCCCTCTGCCAACCAACCCACCTAAGCCTTACTTGACTTGCTTGACAATCTTCCATATGCACTCACCCCTGCCTTCCCCAACTACCGTTGTCGGCTGCCACTCATTGCCACTCACTCCCTCTTCCATACTATCTCTTTCTCATTCAATTTATCTCTCCCCTCACTCTTTCTCTATCCTTCTTTATCTCTCTCTCTAAATTGAGAGCTCCTTCTCTCTTCATATCTCTCTCTCTAAAGCCCATCTCTTTTTTATTTCTATCTACTCTATTGCCCTTTGCCTTTCTCTCTCTCTAAACTGAGAGAGATCACAACGCTCCCCCTATAACTCTCTCTCCTCTCTTCCTCCTCTAGCTTTCTCTCTCTAAAGAGAGAGAGAGTTTTCTCTCTACCTTGCTTGCTCTCTAAAACTCTCTTTTTCCTCCCTATCTTTGCACCAAATAGCCATCTCTTTTCCCTTTTATTTCTCTAAATTATGGAGAGAACTTTTTATTTATAGTAAAAAAAGAAAAAAAAAACAACAAATAAAGAAAAAAATAGAAACTTTTGAAAAAAAAAGAAAATTTGTGTTTTTGTCCATGCCAATTTCCGCGTCGTTGCTTCTTCATCATCACCTTGATCAAAGGTGTAATTTAAAAAATCTCAAAATTTAGAAGCCATATGCGTTATTCCAACATGTTGAGTAAAATTTGCAAACTTTAGTACCTATTCGTGTTGTTTCAACACGGAAGGAAAATTTGCTAAATAAGTATTTATCCGCAATATTCCAAAGCTATGAGGCATTTCATGACTTTCACTCGTGTAGGTGATGAAGACCCCACATGCTTTTATAACTATGTTAGAGTAGAAGACCCTGGCCGTGGTGTCAAATGACGTTAAACATCTTACTTTTTTATGTGTTGTGAGAAGGCCTAACACCTCTTGTAGATTGCCCCTTTATAAGGGAGATGCCAGAAGGTTGCTTAAATTTAAACTAAGTGGACAAACAGGGAATAAAACTTAAAATAATATTTTTTAATAAAATCTGCAAAAATGGAAAATAAGGTATAAACTAAAATGAACTTACAATGAACTTGAAAAGCTTGCTTGCGAGCACCATATAACTCACTTATCAGTACTAAGAACACTTATAAATCCCATAAGAATTCACTCGATCAATTGAACTGAATAACCTCTCTATTTATAGCATGGTTTAAAATTGCGCAATATGAGGCTCGTCTTGAGGCCCGCCTTTGCGCAATTCCAATAAAAAACGCCTCGATGCTTACGCCTCGAGTTTTTTTTTATGAGGCTTGTGCCTCAACTTGGTTGAGGCCCGCTTCGCCTCACTGGCATGAGGCTTACGCCTCACGCTATATATATATATATATATATATATATATATATATATATATATTAAAAATTACATATATCTTGATGTAAATGCCCAACATTGGACTCTATAGGAGAGGAGGAAGGGAGAGAGCAGTTCACCATAATGATGATTCAAATGAAGAACCCCATAATGATGACAGTGCTGATGACTTATGAGTTCTTATGTGATATGTCATTGCTATTTATTTTTGGAAATCGGAATTATATGTTAATGAAAAGAATATTGGGATTTAAGAAAGAATTTTGAGTTGAAATACATTTAATGTTGTCTTATTATTGAGATATTTTGATTTCACTTCATATCTTATGCTTTTTATGTTTTATATTATTCACTCATTAGTTTATAACAAATTTATCATTTTATGTTTACGCAATCTTTTGATTTTGAGGCTTACGCCTCAAAACGCCTTGAGGCTTACGCCTCGCCTCACGAATGAAAAAAACCTCAATACTCGAATACGTAATTTTAAACATTGATTTATAGTAACAAAAAGATGCCACTTTGGTCTAGTGCACATTAATTTAATTTTATTAGAAACATTTACTGTAAAGGCTGTTTTTGTCTTGAGGCAATTAATGAGAAGATAGTGTGAGCAACAAAGAATGTTTTCTCTCCATCTGATCCTAGTCGCTCTTTCCGAGCACATTCAAGCAATAGCACTTCTTCCTTGATACTCTGGATATTTTGGTTGGATCCATCACTATGGGAGTGGCTTCGTTGTTTGTAACTGTGGTGGTGAAATTTGTTCCTCTCACGTATTCTGGAATAAGTCTAGTGCTAATTTATTCTTTAGCAAAGTGCTGCAGATCATGCATCCTGATAAGATGCTCATGTCTGCTGCTGCCTCCTCAGGTGTTTTTCCCTCTCTTTCTATTCTCACTCACTCTCTCTCTCTTTCTACCTTTTTCCATCTCTCTCTCTCTCTCTCTCTCTCTCTCTCTCTCACACACACACACACACACACACATTCTCTTCCTCCCTCTCGTTGTACTCTCACTCACTCTCTCTTTCTACCTTTCTCTATCTATCTTATTCCTCTCTCTCTCTCTCTCTCTCTCTCTCTCTCTCTCTCTCTCTCTCTCTCTCTCTCTCTACCCCCTAAATGGAACTTATTCTCTATCATTGACATGTCCTGATAACTCACCCATGAATTACTTGTTTTCATTTGGCAGCATAGTTTCTTCTCATCTCTTTCCTTTTCATGCTGTTGTTTATTCTGTGTGTATTGCGTTTGGTGAATCATGATTACCCACCATGATTAATATTTTAACTTATGCCTTTGTACTTATCAAAATAACTGAACCATCTAGAGGCAATCATGCTGTGTCTGTGAGCTGGATTTATGAAGAAGATGAAAGATAATGCAGGGAAAATCTTGCCCTCTTTGTGTAGTTGTAAGGACTAAAGTTATATGCTTCACTTGACAGTTTTGTGATGACATTAATTTCCCTGCCATTTTATTCTATTATGATAAATGTACATAACCATCTATATGAGAAACTTCGGGGGATTATAAAACCAGCGAGCTTTTTGGACAATCATTGCTCATTTGATTATGGCTCAGCCATGTTCATTTATTGATAAATCGAACAAGTTTAGACAAGAAATAAGCAGACTTGGCAACATTCTTGCTTGTAGTGCTCGATATAAGACTTGTTTATTGCTTGGTTTAGCAGCTTAATTTTTAATTATAAAACGCGTCTTTGGATCTTATACCTTTGAACGTTGCATGCTCGCTAAATTATTGTTGCATTAATAGAAGTTTGCGCTAAACAAATTGTTAGTTAGCTTCATTCAGTTTAATCATAACTAATGAATTTCATCTCAGTTTTTGAACAAATATCATCAGATTTACAATATAGATTAAATGTTAAACATACATAAAGACCATGAGTGACCCCCATTCTACATCATTGTCAAGCCCCATATTCCTTCTCGTGGATGCTCCTCACCAACTCTATTGATGAGAAGAATTTATATCTTGCTACATTTGAACTTCGGTTTCGTTTGGGGCGGCTTTCTTACTGCTTCTTAAAGCAGCTTTTTAGTACAAAAAATTTTGTACTAGAAAGCTGTAAGAAAGCCGCCCCAAGCAAAGCCTTCATCTTGCAAAAATTAACCTTACATATGAGAAATGCAAGATTGACAATAAAAATAAGCATCACTAGATCGTATATTGCGTGTGATCCAATGTTTACTGCACTAGCTTGTTATAACATTATCGAGTTAATTGAAATTTAAGAAGAATATCATCATATGATTACTAAACAGTACAATTATCCTTCTTTATTTTATTTGATTTTCCAATATACCTTATTTCTGATTATACTGAGGAGCAAGCACTACAGATGACAAGGTAACTGTGCTGGAGTCAGAAAAACGGGCATGGGAGAGTTCCCCTGAGGCTCAAGCCATGAAAGAAGCTCTGAATCCCTGGAGAAGGCTTGATGAAGAAAAAAGTAAACCATAACAAGTTGGAATGCAAAGTATGAATCATTGACCTCTTTGACTCTGTTCCATGCCATCCTTGACTGGTTTAGGGCTCGTTTGATTGGCTTTCATAGCATAAAAAAGGCTGAAATTTTAACTGCAGGAAAGTTTTTTTTTTCCTACCAAGTGGGCTTCGTAAGTTTATCATTACCAGCATTTGTTTTTTCTATTAAATGCCAAATAATGTACCATTACAAACTTTGGATGATATCAAACATTGCTTTCTTATATTAAAATTTATTAATTTTTATTTTGTGGTACCATTACTGCTACTCTGGATAGTTCCCATGCAATGAGTGATTATTTCCAAACTGTGAGATTGTGAGTTGGAAGGTTAAACCCTAAATTATGGTGTACTCCAAAGGCTTTGCTTTGTTTGTAACAATTTTTCAATTGCTTTCGTTACTTAGTAAAAAATATTATGTATTTGGAAGAAAAAAAATTTATCACTATTTTTAATTTTTATTTTTAAAAAATTAGTTTTGAAAAAAAAAATTAAATAATGGTTGAAAAAGGACTTTTTAAAATTAAAAAATAGTTAAGATTATGATATGCTAAGGTATTCCATCTATATGATGACTATTTGAAAAAGGAAATACTAGTAGAAACTATTCATACTTGCATATGTTGCTCATAATAATTATTTCATTTAAACATACTACATCAATCTTACGACCTAAAAATTAATAGATCTCAATAAGCATATTTTAGCATAATGGAAGGAGCAAGAAACTTTTTTTTTTTTTCAGTAAAGATAATCATGCATACATACTTGGTACTTCCAATGAGGCTGCCAACTTACCTGGGATGGAGTGGATGGAATGGCGGGCTGCATCATTTGCCTTCTTGAAGACTAGATCGTCGAGTTGGAAGGCTTTCTCTTTGACATTTGAGTTGTAGTACTTCGGCATTCTCCTTTTGACCTTTTCCTGTTTGAAGGTGGCTTGTGCTCGAAGTTCCTCCAAGTGGTTTGTTGTAGTTTTCAACTCTTCTTGATTGTTCACCTCTCACTCAACGAGTATTTCTTCTTTAAAATTGACTATGGCGACTACTAGTTGACTGTGTAGGTCAAGTTCAACAGACAGTAGTAATTCAAAATATTGTGAGAGTGAGAGTGGTGTTTGCATAGTTTTCGAAGGAGTTATCCTAAGTTTCCATAAGATTAAAGAGAGTGACTCCGCTCCTTTGCCATTTGCCTGTTATACCTTCTTCCTCAAGAAGTTGAGAATCTATTTATCGGCGACTTCAACTTGTCCATTGGTTTGCATGTGACGAACTAAAGTGAGCTTTCAGAGAATGCATTGTGAGTGATATAAATCCTTTGTGTCATGTTGACAAACTACTGCCAATTGTCAGTGATAATGGTAAGAGTCACACCATAACTTCAAATGATGTAAATCCAAATGAAATTCCTCGTAATATTGGTGATCATCTTAGCAAGTTTATTGGCATCAATCCACTTTGTAAAATAGTTAATCATGGCTAGAATGAACTTTCTATGCCCTGTAGAAGGTGGGAATGGTCTTAACAAATCCATTCCCCATACTATGCTACAACTTGTGAGAAGGTTGCAGTTGCATGAGGGCAAATTTGTGGCACTAGGGATACCTTTTGAAGAATTCCTCTACATCCTTCCACATAGACGACTAGAAGTATCATTGTCTTAGAATTTTATGGGCAAGTGTTCTTCCTCCTGAATGACTTCCATGCTCTCTTGAATGAACCCTAAGTATTGTCTCCTTCTCGTCTCCCTGAATAACTTTAGTTAAGTGAAGTCACCAATATCTTCTATATAACTCACCCCTCATGATCTAGCGGTTGGAAGCCTTGATCTTGAATCTACGTCGTTCACTGACTTCTGCATCTATTACTCCTATTCATAAATTCTTTATGATTAGATCTACCCAACTCAACGGGCAACTGACTTCTACCTACATGTCATTCTCTTCTTCTATGGTAGGCCTTATGATCTTCATTGTTAGTCGCCCATCAAGATTCCCTCTCTTGAAGAGGAGGTTGGCAAGTTAGCTCTTCTCTCTAAGGATCTGAGAAATTTTGAAGTACTCTAGTTCATTGATCTCTACCTTTACTTTCAATAATTATTTTAATAACACCACATACCTTACTTCATATTCTCCAATGATTGGGTTCATCATTAGCTGCAAGTTTGAGTACATCATCAACTGTGTTTCCCTAAGCCATATGGTGAATTGTAGGCTAAAGAGAAATTTGTGATGCCCTATGATCTAATGGAAGGATTAAAAAATATATACCTACAATTACAACTTAACCATAAAAAAAGAGAACTAGATCTACTATAAAATTCAAATAATAAAAACAACTCAACATATCTCATTTCATTAAAACATATGTACACTAATCCAACTCAAGAAGTTCTTCACATCAAAATAATTTAACAATAGATTACAAAATATCACCTTCAAAAGAGCTTGCTTCTACCCTTTTCTACTTTGTTGACCTTTACCTTTTTCTAAAAGATTAAAAAATATTATAAGATGAGCATAACCAACTTAGTAGACTTCTATCCCAACCCATATCAATACCAATATCAATTAATTAATTAAAATAAATATATTGACGTATAAAGAGTAAGTAAAGTAATAATAAAACCTGACTTATGATTTCAAGTTCTAACTTACACCTTTGAAGCCACTTTCACTGAGGGTTTAGATGCATCACAAAACACTTGCTATCAGATATTCACTTGCAATTGACATTCATATTTCTTGAGGGTTCATTCATAATATCAGGGGTTAAAAACATGTAGTTCAGAATATTTTGTATACTAAATTTTTAGAAGTATTAACATACACAAAGAAAAGATTAAAATGCACATATCTCGATGCATAATTATAACTACACTTCTACTTATGCCTCCGTTTAACCTCCCATACCTACTAGCAAGTTTGGCCAAAATCAAAACATAACAATACCACATAACTTCCCACATGTTATTTTAGAAAGTGGGGCTAAAATCTCTCTCACATCGATATAGGTTGATGGCGTCATAATAGAAATGTAGGGCCCTTGTAACATATCAGAGAGTGCACTTTTTCACATATCATAATATCTCCAACACCATGCTATGAACAATGCAATTGAAATTGCAATAGTAAATAAACTATAACTTCAATGTAATATTCAAAAAATGCATGAATTGCCAATAAAAAGTAATATTGCTTGTATGAAATTATACCCACTATACTTTTCCCATTCAAAATTCAACTTAAAAAATGTATTCACGTGAACATTTTAAAATATTTATATAACTATTACAATTGCCAAAAAAGCCCCAATCTAGTTATATAATAGAAGTTTGCATAGGAAAATTAATCTTAAAAAATCAAATTTTATATAGTCAAAACATTCAGAATAAAGCGTGCAACAACATATTAAAAGTTATGTAGTGAAAATGTTATAAAACCAGAGAAAAAATATTTGTTCATAATTTTTTATAAAATTAATGGAATTATAATCAGAGATAGGAGTTTATAAGTATACATCATGCTCTACTATATCTTGAACAGGCCCGTCGGATGAATCCCCAATTTCAGCCGCCAATTCATCTCTCTTTCTTTTTCTCTCCTCCCTTTCATTCCCCTTCTTCTCTCTTATCTAGTGAGGGATGGGTGAGGTGAGTGATTGGCACATTCATTTTTACCCAGTGTTGTGATGCTTGCCTTTTTAGTTCCACTGTGCTCCCAGATAATCTTTTAGATTCCTGGAATCTTTCCATTAACAAGCTTAGAGCCATGACAACACCACCTAGCACCGAAGCACATGATCATTTTCCTTTCCCCATTAGAGATTTCAATGCCATGATGTTTTCCACCCGACACCGAAATGCTCCTAAAGAAAATTGAATGAATTAAATTTCACTACCTTGGGCTACTTCCTAGCTTACTTAAGAGTTGCTAGACACTTTGGGCGTACTTTTACCACTTAAATTAAATTATACAAATATTTTGTTTAATTATATAGGTTTCAAAATAGCGAATATTACAAAATCCCTCATATTAGGCCTAATTAGTTGTAACTTTGAATTCTATATTAGCTGAATGGATGATGGTGTTTCTAATAGGGACTTCTCAGAACCCTGTCCACACCAACTACCTACTTGATGGAGGCACCTTTTATGTCAAATGTCTAGTGCTATTGTGGAGTCATCATATCCAAGTCGGCACCACGATCATTGAATTAGGGGACGAATTTAGCGAGGGCTTGGGCCTTCATGATTGTTCGTGGTGAGTAGGTTATCTGAAACTCTCTCAATTTTATTAATCTCTCTTAATGATCAGGTTTGCCAAGTTCAACTCTAAGCACGTTGTTGATAACCACTCTAATTAGAGGGTCTTAGAAGTACAATCATAGTTGCCTTATTGAGATTATTATTACCCATATGAGACTCTCCATGATATGATAGCTTTGTTCCACTCTTAGTATTTTGCTCATATAGTAAACTAGTTATGGATTCTTCCCTTACTCACTAATGAGTAATAACCTGATGGCATCCTCATTGACCCCTAAGTATAGTAGCAAATCCTTGCCTGGTTGCAAGATTTGAGTAGGGGTAAAGAGGATAGGAGAAGCTTCAATTATTGAAAGGCAGCCTCATAGTCTACAATCCAAGAGAACTTCTTTGCACTTCTCACGACTTTGAAGAAAGGTAAGCACATCTCACCAAGTCAAGAGATGAACCAATTGAGGACGGCAGCCCGCCCGATGAGTCATTGTACCTCTTTTGGCTGTTTTGGGTGATGCATCTCCAAAATGTTTTTCACTTTATTTGGGTTTATCTTAATGCCTTCAGGTGTGAGGAAGCCAAAAATTTTTCTTAAACCTACACCAAAAGTATAATTTTATGGGTTGATGGGGGCTAGGCGTGAGCAATTGATTGGTATGTGTTGGACTTGAGCCATGTAATAAAAATATGTTTAGGTTTTCTTTGATATATGAAAATAATAAAATCCCAATAAATATGCAAGTATATGTGCCGAATCAAGTAATAAAGTGATAGAGAAGAGTGTTGATCCCAAGTGTTCTATTTAATTATAATTAAATTACTACTATTTAATCTAAATGTATAATTTATCTCATTGAATGTAAAATTGATGTTTTTTTAATTTTAGCCACTTAATATACACTTGCAAGCAAATTTGTTACTAATGAAAATAAAATACTTTGGACTAATAAATATAAAATAACATAATTTGCTTAATGAAACTCTTTATTTTAGATGTGG